CATAAATTCACTAGATTCTTTGCTTGTAAAAACAGCGAATGTTAATAATGTTGTTTTTGTAGGAGATATAAACATCAATATTATTGACTCTCAACAAGACTTACATAAGCTTAACTACTTAAATGTGACTGCTTTACACGGCTTGTTACCTGCTCATACTTTTCCTATCCGTAAAGATAGCTGCCTAGATCATGTTATGCTAAAAACCAAACTCCCAGGTAAAACTCTTGTTGTAAATTCGTTAACTTATCATGAGACTGTAGCATTTTTTCTCGATAAGAAGGTCCGAAGACAACACACAATGACGAAAATATTTCGTACAAATTATAGTGGAATTACAACTGATCTTGCTAAAATGAATTTTGATTTAGTTTACTCTACACAAATATTGCCGCTAATTGTCTTGTCCAGTCCTTACAAAAAGTCTTAAACGCTAATACTAAGAAGATTTTTTTATCTAGTCGTAGAAAAATTATAAAGCCGTGGATTACTCCAGGACTCTTACGTTTTATGAAGCATAGGGATAATTTACATAAATTAAAAAAGGAGCCGGAAAATGAAGTACTTAAGTTATCTTTTACGAGATATAGAAATTATTGCAACAAACTTCTAAAAAAAGTCAAGAATGAATATGAAAAAAATCAAATTAGAAATGCAGGTGCAAATAATAGAAAGCTTTGGGAGGTAATAAACAGCATAACCAACAGAAATGCCGCAAAAACATCTTCCACTCAACTACAATCAACATGTACCACACCGAAATAATCAGTTAATAATGTCAACAAGTATTTCGCTAATATTGGTAGACAACTGGCCGAAAAAAATTCTTGAGAACTCTGAATTGAATCTTTCTCCTACTATTGATAGCTTAACCAATTCCATGGTTCTTTTGCCTACTGATGAAGCTGAAATTACATCTGAAATAAATAATCTTAGAAGTGATTGTGCCGTTGGCTGGGATAAAATATCCGGTGGGTTCATAAAACAAAACAAAAAATTTATTGTACCTCCGCTTACCTACGTATGTAACCTGGCCCTCACTTATGGCATATTCCCAACAGCTTTTAAAAAATCCCTCATTCATCCTGTTTACAAAAATGGAGACCGAGACAGTGTAAGCAACTATAGACCAATATCTATATTACCGTCACTATCTAAAATACTAGAACGTGTGATGAATAATAGGTTGAAAAATTTTCTTGATAAAAATTCCATACTTTCGCCAAATCAATTTGGTTTTCGTTCCGGTAAATCTACAGCTGATGCGGTTCATGAACTAATTGAGTTTATCGTACTTAGCCTCGAGAAAAAAGAAAACAATAGGAATATTTTTAGATTTGGCTAAAGCTTTTGACACGGTCTCTGTTCCCATATTGTTGCATAAAATGGAGAAGCTTGGTATAAGGGGTGTACCGTTGCAGCTTTTCAGAGATTATCTGACAGATAGAACACAGTTGGTAAAAATTGATAAACATATTAGTGATGAGCTTCCCATCTGCTATGGTGTTCCCCAAGGAAGTATTCTTGGCCCTGCCTTATTTCTTCTTTACATTAATGACCTCTGCAAACTGAAACTTGTGAACGGAAAAATAGTTACGTTTGCTGATGACACAGCACTGCTATTTACTGGTGATTCATGGCCAGATGTATTTAACTTCGCTCAGATTGGATTAAACAAAGTGTAGAAATAGCTACGCGATAATGTGTTAACCCTCAACGTGGATAAAACAAAGTACTTGTCCTTCTCGAAACATAATAATAAATATGCAACCTGCACGGACCATGTTATTACTGCTCATTCTTGCAATTTTCCTTATTGTCTGACATGTTCATGCACACCTTTGCAAAAAGTGAATTCAATTAAATACCTTGGCATTTTGTTGGATGGTAAGCTAACTTTTCATGAGCATATTTATTCACTTTCAAATACGATACGGAAATTAATATATATTTTTAAAAAACTCCGTTGCGTAGCAGATTCTAACACTATTAAATCTGTCTATTTTGCTCTATGCCAATCTTGAATAATATATTGTATTACGTGCTGGGGTGGGGCTACCAAATCATCTCTTCTGCCCCTCGAAAGATCACAAAGGTTAATCTTAAAAGTAAGTAACTCTCTACCATTTAAATTTCCAACCAGTCAACTTTATAAAATTTCCAAAGTTCTTACTAGTCAACTTTTATTATATACACAGTACTAAAAAGACATCATTAAAATATGACCAAAAAAATACACAGCACACGAGACGCAAAGACCGAGTGTGTACTTCTCATTATGACCATTGTACCTACTTTACTACCTAATATTCACGTCCTACCTAAAATAAAAGCTACAAAATGTATCCATGAATGGTTACTGATGACGGACTATAAATATACGGAAGATCTTTTTACATCACATGTGTAAATGTTGTAATTTTCGCATTCACACAGCACACGCACACACACACACACACACACACACACACACACACACACACACACACACACACGCACACACACACACACACACACACACACACACACACACACACACACGTATCATTATTGTTAAATTATGTATATATGCGCAAATGAATTATATCGTATCATTATTGTTAAAATATGTATTCCAAGATAACATACTTTTGTATTTGTTTAACTGGGAGGGAGACCTGATGACCTGAAATACAGGTTCGTCACCTAGGTTAGGCATCAGTCTCTCACATTTGTGCCTATTTTTTTGTTAAAATTCGATATTGTTAATTTAATGTGGAGAGAAAAATAAATTATTATTATGTGGTGGGGTATCTATATAGTTTTCTCATCTGGTTGGGATCTATAAATATATAATTATAAATGAAAATGAAAGATAAATATACATAAATATCAATAAAATAAAATAAATACAAAAATACATAAATAAATAAAAGCCCAACCAGATGGAAGCCCTCGGCAGGGGAGACCAAACGGCCGAGGGTTAGGGGGAAAGGGAAAGAAACCGGCGGACGATGCGGTATCGAGAAGCACCGCCTTTTGCATTTGAACCCGGAGCGGTCCGTCACGGAGTCCCAGTCGCTTCAGATGACCCGAGAGGCTAACTGGAATTAGCCCATTCGCAGAGACGACTACAGGAATAATTTCGGCCGGCAGACCACCCCACATATCGGTCACCTCGTGAGCCAGGTCCAGATATTTTGTTCGTTTATCTGTTTCGGCTTTCACGAGGTTCTCGTCATACGTAATGGTAATGTCGACCAAAAATATCCTTGACTGTGCCCGGTCCATCAGCACAATATCAGGCTTATTCGCAAGAATAGTCCTGTCTGTGATGATGGCCCGGTCCCAGTAGAGCCTGGCGCGGTCATTTTCGTGCACGGCTTCCGACAAGTACTTGTAATATGGCACTTTCCGGCCCACGAGACCGTATTTCAGAGCGAGCTTCTGGTGTAGAATTCTGGCTACTGGGTTGTGCCTGTGCAAGTACTCAGAGTTAGAAAGTGCCGAACAACCGGAGATGACATGCCTAAGTGACTCACCGGGATGGCGACAAGCTCGACAGACGTCGACGGTGCCATCCTTTAGGATGTATCTCCGATAGTTGTTGGTCTTAATAACCTGATCCTATATTGCACAGAACCCTCGGTTTCCCCGAAGAGGTCACCGAAACGTAGCCAGTTGAGGGAGGCGACTGTATCTACGAAGGGCTCATGTAGAACCCTGTAGTACCTCCCGTGGAGCTCCTTCTCCTTCCACACGGTCTCCCGGTCGGAAATGCTTAGTACTGCCGGGTCCTGCCATTGCTCGTTGGCTAATGATAGAGGGGTAAGTCCTTTATCACTAGAAATGACGTCATTATAGAATGGATCATCCGATCTCACCAGGAAGTAATTACTGAGGCTGCACACTTCGCGATTATGCATGGTGAGCGCGCTCAAGAAGCCACGCCCACCATGCTTTCGTGGCAAGTACAGCCTCATTACCGACGATCTCGGATGATGCATCCTATGGGACGTCATGGTAGTGCGGACTTTTCTATCCAGGGCGTTAAGTTCGGTCTGAGTCCACCTGAGTATGCCAAAGGTATACATGAGGACAGGCATGACCCAGCCGTTATATGTGTGTGCCTTATTCACACCGGACAAAAGGCTGTTAAGCACTTTGGTCAAGCGTGCATAAAACGTGTCGCAAACTGACTGTTTCATACCAGCCTCATCGATACCGATGTTCTGTGACATACCCAGGTATCGGTATGTTTCAGCCTTGGAAAGGGTCCTTAAGTTGACGGGCATAGATAAGTCTATGCCCTCAGAGTTAGCAACCCTACCCCTCTCAACATGGAGGACCGCACACTTATCCATCCCTAGCTCCATTCCAATAGAATTGCTAAATTCACAAGTGATGTTTAGCAATTCCATAAGATGGGAGTGACTGGAGGCGAATAATTTGAGGTCATCCATATAGAAGAGGTGGGTCGCTTTTGTACCTCCTTTCCGAAGCTGAAATCCCCTCCCGGAACCCTCCAGTAAAGTACTGAGAGGGTTCAAAGAGAGGCAGAACCAGATTGGACTCAGACAGTCGCCCTGGAATATACCCCTTCTTATCCTTATGCGGCTTTCCGCAGCCGTCATCCGCTCGCCTAGATGACAGAGGATCGTACTCCACTGCCCCATACACCGCTCGAGGAAGTCTCGAACTGTACTGTCAATCTTATACAGCTCGAGGATCCTCTTTAGCCATGTATGGGGCACCGAGTCAAATGCCTTTCTGTAGTCTATCCAGGCGGCGGAGAAGTTCCGACGGTTGCGTTTCACCACTTTGCCAATGACCGCGTCAATGAGGAGTGGTTCCTTGGTTCCACGACCGCCGCCCCGACATCCATTTTGAGCGCGCGACATCACCTGATTTGATTCAGGTGACGAGTGATTCTCGCGCTCAAAATGGATGTTAGTGTCTTGTATATGGTCGGCAGACACGTGATGGGGCGGTATTTGCTCGGGTCTGTGGTAACCTGGTCTTTAGGAACCAAATGAGTTATCCCAGTAGTGAAGAGGCTCGGGAGCGACTTCTGGTTGAGAGCCTCTTGGAACTGTCGGGCGAGCACAGTGTGACACACCACAAACCCCTTCAGCCAGTAGTGATGCAGCCCGGTCGAGTCCCGGACTTATCCAGTTCGGGGCCCTACGGACCGCCTCAGCTACGTCATCCGGCGTTATAATGACGGGGTCCATGGGCGTTATACTCGCACACTGACTCGCCACAACTTCCGTCCAAGGGCCCTCGCTGTGGTTTACGGGCTCTGACCACAGGCCGCGCCAGAATGCTACAGTGTCGGCCTGATTCGGTGCTGGGCCCGTTCCACTTACCATTGGTCGCTCCAACGATTTATAGAGCCTCTTCTGATCACTCTGGAAGAGACAATTCTGGTTAAACCGTGTCGACCTCTCGGTATATCGCCGAATCCACTTTCCCCAAGCAGCGATTCTCTGCTTCAGGTCGTCTATGCGCTCCGTCAGTTTTTGCATTATATCCGGCTGGGACAATCTTACATTTGTCCCAGCAAATGCCATCCTGACGGTGCGCACAATCCTTGGCCTGTTGTTGCCTGACCTGAAGCATATCTTGATATGGGATGAGATTCGGCAACTGGGTCTCGAGGTGGCTCTGCACAAGTCCGAGGCCATGTCCTCGGAACAGGCCACCACCGGGATCCTCAGTGATGGTAGGAGGGGTATCCATCGGCATCGAGTCGACGCCGAAGTACCTAGAACTCGTCCTCGACGGCCGATGGAACTTCGTTGAGCACTTCCGACGTTTGGCTCCCAAACTGGAACGGACCGGGGCTGCCTTCAGGCGGCTCCTGCCGAACCTGGGAGGGCCAAACGCCTCCTGCCGGAGGCTCTACGCGGGGATCGTGCGGTCTATGGCCCTTTACGGGGCCCCGGTGTGGGCGCGTAGCTTGACGCGGCTTGACGTCCACCACCTGAACGCGCCCCAAAGGGTGATAGCCGTGAAAATGGTTCGCGGCTACCGCACGATATCCCGCGAGGCGGCGAGCCTCCTTGCCGGATTGCCGCCATGGGATCTGGAGGCGATAGTCCTCGCGCGCCTGCACGAATGGCGTGCGGAGGCACAGTGCCGTGGGGAAACCCCGCTGCCGCGGCAAGTTGTCGCGCAGCGGACAGACTTCCGGCACGATCTCGTGGCGACATGGCGACAGCTACTGTCGCAACCCCGTGCTGGGCACGCCACTATAGCGGCGATAAGACCCCTCTTTGAGGAGTGGCTTGAGAGACGCCACGGCATCCTCACCTTCCGCCTGACGCAGGTCCTCACCGGACACGGTGTGTTTGGGAGGTTCCTGCACCGAATCGGGCGGGAGGAAACGCCCGGGTGCTCCCACTGCGAGGATGGACCGGAGGACACGGTGGAACACACCGTGGAGGTGTGCCCTGCTTGGGCGGAGCACCGCCGTGTCCTCGTAGCGGCGATAGGCGGCGGCGACCTCTCGCGTCCGGCCCTGGTCGAAGCCATGGTCCGGAGCGAGACGGAATGGGATGCCGTCACCACCTTCTGCGAAGCAGTGATGCTAGCTAAGGAGGTGGCGGAGCGGGAGAAGGAGAGAGTAGCAGCTTTCCTCCCCGGCCGCTGCGTGAGACGCCCCGGGCGTCGGGGGCTACGTCGTGGCCCCCGCCACCGTAGGCGCGGGCCTGTGGACGGCGAGCAATGGGTAGCTCGTCGTCCGTCCGTCTAATTACGACAGGCCGTGTCGACGGCGCGTTTTTTTCCACGCGCGCCTCAAAGAGCTGTGAGCAGCGTGAAGGGGCCCGCAAGGGCCGACGCCTGCCGGATCTGCGGGCTGTTCGAAAGAGATACCGCGGCTCCGGAACGTAAGGGCACTGAAGGAACACGGATGGTTTTTAGTCAGTAAAAGTTCGACACTCCCTTACGCTCCACTCAGAGCGAAAGGGGTCATTAGATGATTTTCCATCCGCAAAAAAAAAAAGGCTGGTATAGCGCTACTTTGTCCAGTAGCGCGTCCAGCCGTGGAAAGTTTGGCGCCTATAATACGGCACACTGCCAGTGCGGCGCCAAAAAGAATTGAGTCCGTCTCGCAAAGGTCCCGGCTGGCTTCCAAATAGGTCACCAGCATTGGGTTCAGAACCCTCACGACAGCCCGATTCCGCTTGCTTAGGGCTATGCGGGGAAGTCGCGGTCGATTTTCGAGAGGCGTACTGCGCGTTTCCACAATCGCCTCTTCCAATGTACTCCTCATATGCTCTAATTCCAGTTCCTGGGCGACTGTTCCATCATCGTTTGAATCAACCACAACTGGGGTATTCACGGCGGCATTCATATTTGCGGGTTGCTCTGCAATTTGTAGCGCCGCATCCTCAGCCATAGCATTTTCATCCGATGAGGGAACAGCCTCACGTCGTAGTCGTTCGAGTTCGGCGACATCAAATATATTTGTGCGCAAGATATACCGAACCCGGTCTGCCAGGTTTTGCTCTGAGACGGTTAAAGATGGCTCCAGCTCAGCAAAAAGACGATGCATCCTAGCCCGATACGCCAAACCTCCAACTTCTCCCCCTTTCGCCCTAAAATACGCCCGCAATGCGTTAGTATTCATTTCGGTTGTCCATCGCATGCGGCGTACTCCACCAGTGGCGGGTGCTGATTGCTGGGCCTGCGAAGACCCTGCCGACACCAAGCCAGCTGGTGGGGATGATGGGTGCGAGGGGCTGATGGGTGGTCGTGCAGCACTTCTCGCTCGGCTGGCGGTTCGCATGCTGTCGCGTTCAGCGCCAGCACCAGACGCGCCCTGGCGACCTCCAGGCAGCGGCCCTTTGCGCGTTTTTGCATATTCCATCATCCATAAAAGTGGGCGTCATTTAACGGGAGACGCCCAAACCCGGCGCCGTTTTATGGTGGGGCCATGTGCACAAGCGGGCCTTTGCGCCTTAAATTTTTGCCGAGGCACGGCACTAACACCTCTTGGCAAGGTGCTGACTGACTGCGCTGACGTAGTGGTTTTGTCACATAATCCATTACGTCAGCGGGCGATGGAATCGTCACTTCCCTACGCCAATTATTATTATTATTATTATTATATCTATATTGCGAAATATGGCCATACTTACGAAGCCCAAAGATAAATCTTATACAGTTATTGAAAAGGCTTTTCAGCTTGTTCAGAAGATTTTGGAACAGATCTGGGTAACACACATCTACATAATCAATAATGTGTAATATGAGTAATTGAACAAGCATGATCTTAGATTTTGTAGGAAGAAAATGTTTTAAACAATACATGATGTAGCAAAGACTTTTCGCCTCACTTCTTAAGCCCGAGTTCTCCAATTCAGCGTGCTGTAGATGTAAACCAAGATTTTTGACCAAGTTACTCAATGGAATTATAGTACTATCATAATAAATAGGAGTTATATATGCAAAATTAATCTTAGCCAGCATCATTCAGCTACTCACCAGCGAGGTGTTTTAAAGAATTGACCAAACCTCCATAACGAGTAGACCAATCTTTGATAGCTGATAAGTTGCCGTTAAGGTTTTTGATGACATTATGGATATCTCCTATTTCAGTTTGCACATCAACCAGAAGGTCATCGGCCTACAAATGGGACGAGCAGTAATAAAGTTAAAAAAATTGAATACATTATGAGAGAAAGATTACCGCCTTGCGGCACACCAGCATAATTAATACATTAAAAATAAAAATACAAATAAATAGTCGAAGAGCCACGCTGCAGCTACGAGTATATTGTGATTGTAGCACGAATGGATCGGCTCGACTGGGGAAGGACTATACTCTCACAAAATACCGGCGTAAAATAGCAGCTTAATACTGCTGTGTTTCGTATGGTGAGTATGGAGACACGGAGAACCTTTTTTACTGAAAACGAGGCATTCCATCGTAGTCTTTAGGGGTGACTACGCATCTAAGTTTTGATCCTTAATAAGAATAAGTGTAGATGTCTATAGTTCACAGCATCCACTTACCGCCAGATGAACTGTGTGCTCGTTTTCACACTTATTCAATAAAAAAAAAACATCAACCCAAGCTGAGGTCACTTGCACCACACTGACTGACTACTGTCGACCGCGAAGATAAGATGCAAACCAATCTTTTCAATAGGGTTAAAATTCGGAGGAGACGGTATGAAAGGAAGGATTTCATGATGAACTGTGTTAAAAGCGTTCGAGAAATCAACTAGTACTAGTTCAAATTTTTTTTCTTCCATACCTTGTCCAAAATTATCAATAATATCAATTAAAGCAGTAGTGGTACTATGATCATGGGGAAACCCAGACTGATATATAACCCGAATGAACCAGAAAGTGGTGACGCCTCAGGTTGCCCCTTCGAGTCCTGCTTGAATGAACTAGCGAATGGTGGAGCTATAAGGTCTCGGGTTCTATTCCCGGGTCGGACCAATTTTATTTTGCGAGATTCACTATATGTGGACCATATGCGTGGTTCCCTATAACCAAAACAAAGTAGGTGGAAGTAGCACATGGCCGGTTTTAGGGAATGCACTTGCTAGAACCTAATTTACTATACCAACCGGCAAGGGTAGGAGCGTGAGCTGTTGTAGGAAAAGAGGCAACGAATGAGAACAGCTCATGCTAGGAAAGAAAGGAGATGCACTTACTTGGGCGTTAATCTTTTGGTGGCCTTGTACTCAGGCCTAAGGTTGATTGCGCCACGTTGCAGCTGCGGTGGTTCGCGACGATATATTGTACTTTGCAAATCCCTATTGCGCGATTGCCACAGAGGTGCAATCACATCTAACGTTAGTATTCAACAGCTCGGTAGGCGGTGGTACGTCGACAACATGCAGTCGGCCGACGGCGTGTTTCGAACTTTCACTTTTCTGTTATTGTGCAATCAAAATTACGCCACCAATCTAGCCTCATATTGGTATGCCTGTGCAGTAAGGATGCGGAAGTGAAGGGGAAGGAAATACTACCAGCTAATATAGTCTACAAAATATGCGTTTTGGCGTAGTGAAACTCCACAACAGTATATATTAGTGTTGGGGTAGAATAGGTTTGAGATAATATAATTGATTTTTTAGTAACAACAACACGTCTCCTTCGTTGACACCTTTCCTATATTACAGATGAGTTTTCAAGTTTTAATTTACGAATAAAAATTCCGTGCTGTAATAAACACGAACGTTTTTAATATATTTTTAAAGCGTACGCTTAGTCATAAAGTTTAAGGCCACGTTGCAATACTTTTCATATTTTATGAACCTCTGTAAAGCTACTGAATTGTGATTATTGTGCAAAAACAAATATTTTTACTAAATACGTGGCATTCCATCTCAGCCCACAATGATGACAACGCATCTGCGTATTAACTCCTAATCGAAGATAAATGTAACTGTCTATGGGCGATAAATCCACTTACTATCAGTGGGATCCACTTACTATCGGGGGGATTGCGTGCTCGTTTTTCACCATTATTATATAAAACAAATATTTTTTACATTATTTTACGAATATAAGCATATATTTGTAAAATTTGGAAAATAAATACCCTGATAAAACAACAAACCGTAAAAGTGAGACCATATTGCCATTTAAATGTGCACCTTGCAGAAATTCCACACTGAAACCTTCACAGCACTCGTTACGAACGTATATTAAATGAAAACGCTTATGTAGGCTTATATTGTTAGGTCATTATGAGTATACTTTATTTGTTATAAATTTATCCTATTAAAAAATAACAGTACATAGCACACGCATCAGCCCATTTTAGTGATCGCTGAGGCATATACGAACGTTGAAAGTACGTAAGTTTTTGTAAAACTTTCCCCACTTATTGCTCTTTGGTCTGCAATAGTGGGAAGTGAGGCAAGGGTTCCATAATGGTAGGTATGAAAACATATTACAAGACGGCCTTAACTGAAGAATTGCTTCTGAATATGACATTTTTCAAGATATTTGCTATGGTTAATGAAAAAAAATATATTTGTATATATTCATAAAGTGCACACTTTGATACGTATTTAATTTTTGACATTAAAATCTGCAAAGTCCTTACAGAAGTCGTATCAAAGCTTCATTGAATATCTTAGGTAAACATAATAGCATATAATTTCCATTTAGCAGAATAGTTGCAGAGTAAACAAAAAATTTCTAGACTGACACAATAATATTCTAATTTTCATAATTATTTCATTTTTAAAGATAAGATCAATTGGTCAATGTAAACACAATGGTTACAGATATATTAGAAATGTATTCCTTTTTAAAAGAGTTTTATGCTTTATTGTAGTTTATTTAAATGCTTACCTTATACCCTTAATATAATTATAGGTGCACATAAAATGAAAACGATTCTAATAAAGTTCTTATTTGTACCCTTAATACCTAATTAATTTACACTTATGGTATAAAATAATAAGGATAGTATTTAATTAAATCTCAACGAAGTTTTTACTATTAGATTTTGTAGCAATATGCAAAATATTTTATCAATGTCTTTAAAATGGTCCCCTAATATCAAGAAGAATATTATTAAGAGATCAGTTTACTTCTGTAATAAGGTCTTGCTCATAAACATCTCAAAGAAAGTCCTTATTGAGAAACTTCTGAGTCAGTACAAGTAATACTTTTTTTAAACGAAACTAATTTTGTTTACTTTACTTCTATACTCATAAAATATTACGGAATCATTTCTCTTGATAAACACAACCTGGATTATTTATATCTTATAAAGTTTTCATAATCATCGTCATCAACTTTATGAATTACAGCAAGTTCAATGCAGCAGATAACTCATCTCAAAACCTAATGACTAAAATCTATTAAACTTTCAGACAATAAACACTAACATATTGAAATACTAGCTTTTTTACCCGCGGTTTCGCTCGTGTGGACTTCCGTTGAGGAACATCATTAATACTGCTCAGTACCAAAGTAAGCAAAGTTGCATCACTAGCAGAGTCGCCTTGTTGTCACGTTTGTTAGTCACGTTTGTAAGTCACGTTTGTTAGTCAAGTGATAATTTTTGAATTCTTAGAGACTATTGGACGTGGATTTTTTAGAGTTACATTAATATCATACATCTAGCGACCCCTGTCACTTTTCATATCGGTCATGACTTCCGATATCTCTTTAGGAAGGGTAAATTATCTTTTATTCAAAGTTGCATTATTTACTTTTTACTCTTTTCATTTATTCGTAAATTAAGTTAATTTAATTTTGACCACATAATGTTGAATTTCATGGTCTTCTATTAATGTACAGCAGTGTTATTTGCGATATTTGTTTTATATCACTGGTCCATTAAATATTAATTGGCACTTTTAAAAAGTTGCTTATATTTTTTTTATTCTAACAAATATAGATAAGTATCTCACAGTGCACTTAATTTTCAATTATTTACATCGGATAACTTCATACCAAAGGAAGTTATTGCCATGCCGATATACACCCAATAAGTATATTTACTTCAGAGTTTAATCACAGTTTTGTATACACAGTATCCAGTATAACAGTTATATATTTTGCTAAACGTGGCAATTACGGTAAACCATCTCGGTAATGGCTGGATATTTTAAGTTTTTGATTCTGCAAGAATAAGTAAGTTAGTTATTATTAGTTCATTTAACAGTAAATAGAAGGCGCTAATATTGGATTAAAACCATGAAAGCGAAAACCGTGAAGTTATGTAAATGTGGCCAGATTGTAGAATTGATCATATTATCATGAGGTTTTGACCACTTCAAATATCACATTTATTTCGTGATAGCCTATTATTACGGACCATCTTTCATCATCATCATCATTACAGCCCTTCACAAGTTCACTGCTGAAAATAGGCCTCCCCCAAGTAAT